AAGAGAACCAAGAAGACATAGAAGGATATTTGTTTCTTTTTGTTTTGGAAGGGGAGGATTCGAAGTCGAGTCCCGACGGGAAGATGGAGGAAGTAGATGGGAAAGGTCTCGAGAGAGAGAGAGGAGGGGGGCGGCACCACAACGGTTGCGGGAAGGATATCTTGACTAGGGACAGACGAACAGGTAAGGACCAAAGTTAAAGAGAGGCTGAAGGGCAACGGTAGTGGCTCGCTGTTCTGTGTGGCTTTGGACTGGACTGGGGGAGGGGAAGGGATGTCTGTCTCTCGGGGTGTGTATGTGTGTGGGAAGGGAAGAAAGCAAAGGCCTGGCTGGCTCAATGGGTTGGTTAAACGGTGCGATGCGAGTGCGACTGTAATGTGGAGGGTCCAGGGTCGTTATTTAGCTGCGCAGGAGACCCATCCTTCATCACTACAGAATATTCCCAATCAACAACTATCCCGGATCAGGAATGGGATACAAGACTAAGATCTTTGGGAAAGGGGAAATTGTAAAAAAAAAAAAAAATGAAAGATGAAGGGAGAGGGGAAAGAGAGAAGAGGGGACTTGGAACAGAAAGAAAAAGAAAAATATTATAAAATAAAATAAGAGTTACAGTGAAAATAAATTAAATTAAATCTAGAAAAAATATTCCTTGGGGGAATTGAAAAATAGAAAAAACAGAAAATGGGCAATCAAAAACAGCAGCGATGAAGGGCAGGACAGCGTCAGAGTGGTTAGTGGAGATATCAGAGTGAGCTTGTTACTAGCGGGAAGGTGGTGTAATATTGACCAGGATGGATGCAGGACAGAAGAAGGGCCAGAGACAACCGCGACAATATTGAGTGTGAGGTAGAAAATCGACGAGACAAGCATTGACCGGCAAAAAAAGTATCAGTTATGAATATCAACAGTCCCTAAACACCTTGAAGGGATTGAACACAGCCTGCAGCGACATGGTGGTGAAAACAATCAGCAATTACAGGAGCACGGAAGGGAAATCGACGGGGAACAGAAATGCAGTGTAGATGCTCCTCCTGCCATGCTGGAAAGAAGAAAAAAAGAAAAAGAAAAATGGTTAGAAAAATGCAACATGCTTGCAGCAGAAAATGGCTGTCTGCTCACATTTGGTCCTCGAACACCATTTCTTGGGTTGATAATTGTTTGTTTGACAGGCAAAGTGACCTCGGTGAAGTGGGTATAGGTGGGCGGATGGGGTGACTGGGGTTGAAAGGAGGAAAGCCTCGCCAATGCACTTGAAACTGGGTAAACAGCGCAGACACCAGGCATTTCACTTCTCCGAAGTAAAAACCAATTCGCATTTGGAAAAAGGTCCAACAAAGATGGAACAAAGAACCGCAGCAGCCCAGTAACGAAGAGACTGGCATGCGATGCAAAACATTGAGTTTATCGCGGATCGAATGCATTCAGAGTTTCCAGAGCCCCTCGACAGATAGGTTCATGGGCGACTTAGCAGAAGAATGAAACCAGAACCCCTGAAAGAACGGCATCACTTTGACAGTATTCACCATTGTTCATCCGTAGGAATAGTAGAGCACACCGTATGCATGTATGCATGTACCGTACATATTATGTCCACGGGCTGCCAATCAATTCTCCGCAGACAGATCTACCACCTGGAGCTAGAACCTCAGGTTCAAATGCTTACTACAACCGAGTCAATACTGGGATTCTGGTGATTCAGATCCTCTTAAAATGAGGTCTGTCTGAGAACCTGCAGCTAGGTAACTAGGTAACTTAAGAACTGTCTATTATTATTCCCACGCTGTCGACACACATGGGGAAGGGACCAGTGGGTCTGTCTTGAGGGTCAGTGTCTACCGTACCATTAACTTAGGTATACCCATAATTATAGATCGCGTTGGACTACCGTAAATAGCCATCAGACTCAATAGGAATAACAGTACGCCCAGACCTGCTTGAGGCGATGTTGCATTCTCCGTCCAGACCTTGGACTGCGAGTATGCGATTACTTTTCCGACCAGTGACGAGGATGAATTGTTCCAGAAGATAAAGTAAGAATTGAATCAACGCAAAATTTCCCATTGGCATGTTTGTGCTGCAATATCCACTCAGGTGGTCATTTTAGGTTTGCGATGGAGGCGAAAATTGGCTGGTCTGGAATGAATGATGGTGGAAGATTGGCGGCGGGAGGATTAGGCACGATACAGTAGCCGTTAGTTTAGTCCGATGGATGGTAACTTATCAGTACAATCCATTACATTACCACTGTGTCCGTACAGCATGATACCACCTCAGTGACCTCATCCTTTCAAGACTTTCAATCCATCCTTCTTCTGTTGTTGAGATAGGCTTGGAACTCTATAGCGTGGCATCGAAGAGGCCACAGGCAATAACAGTCTTTGAATTACTTACCCGAGCAGTCCAGGAGGATGATGATCGATAAGGTCAGTGGGCCAGTGGCCCTTAAGAACAGACCAGGCCGGTGCCGTGCCCTGACAGCCAGCCAACCTCCACTCGATGTGCATGGAGCCATGGATGATGGTGATGTTGCCTCGATGAGATCGTCTTAGGACAGACAGTATGTGTAAGTAGTTTGGCGATAACTAAAGAGAACGACACCTGCATCAGCAGTTCAATTTTAGCTCACCCAAAACTGGTGGTTCTAGCCTCAGTTTTCATTTCTCTATTTTGGATTTTATTTTATTTTCTTTTCTTTTCTTTTCTTTTTTTCTTTCATTTCTTCTCCTCGTTTAGTCCACGGGACGTTCAGACCTACCAGAGAGAAAAATACCGCCATACGCGACCCGACTCGATCTGGTTACACTCCGGTAAGAGAACAGCCGATCTGACTTGCTGCTGTCAGCCTTGTGCCCACTTTCCCGCAAGCGCCACACCACCATTACCATCACCACCTCCACAACGATTCATTCCTCCATCTCCTCCCTCCGGGGCCTCCCACTAATCAAGATCATTCTGCTCACCACATATGGATTAGAACCCGTCAAGTCCAGACCTGGGCATAAATTGCTTGATGGATGGGTTGCAATTGTTGCAACTGAATGCCGTCATCGCTCATAGCACACATACTCTCTCCTAAATCTCCCATTAGCGAGCTTGATTTGAATGAACAAGGAGACTGCCTACCAGTGCAGTCGACGAATAATCCCTTCTCCTCTTCTCGCTCATGGACAGGCGACGCATTAGTCATTCATCCATGTTCCCCGAGGTCACTGCTGCTACAGATTGTGCAACCCCAGCCCATAGCCTGCAAAGCGGCTGATCATTCATTGCCATTTTGGTGGTTTTCTGATCCTGCCGCTTCCCGGCAGCTAGCTTCCTGCATCAATCATGCCTTAATGAACAGCTACGTCCCTAGTTATTGATTCGAGGGAAGGAAGACAAGCCCTCACTCACGGCAGTGATCGAGTCACTCTCGAAACCAAAAGTTGTTCGCAGCTTGATAAAGAGAGGAGAGACGGACTCATAGGATCGCACGGGTCCTCCATCCACTTACCGAACTTCTGCCCGTTGCCCCAAACGCCTTCCTGAGGGTGAAAGTTGGCCTGTCAAATACTATCAGTGACTTGGCTCCACCAGGCCTTTCGAGCAATCAGACGGTGGCTTCCGCGGTAGTGGGGCTTGGCACGGGCATTGAGAAGGGAATTATGATTCTTTTGAGTATGCCAGCAGAGATCAACAAAAGCTCATAAACGCTACCACAGTCCCTCCGTATCTATGGGCAAGCGTTGTCAACATTCGTGAATATGGTACTGGGTTGAGGGAAAAGACAGTTATTTTTCCTCACCCAAGCTATTGATGCGCTTTGTTGCCATTTTGAGCTAAATCAAGCGCCGTAGGAACATCCCTCGTGCATCGATTCCATGTGAGCCTGTCGGGACATATGTATGCCAGAGCTCGTCATAACCTTCTGTCTCGGATGATAAGACAACCGCTGTTCAACCTATGTTGTGTTCGTCCACCGACCAGTCACAACATATGCGGCACGCGTTCAGCAGGTAAGCATCGTTTGTACTCCGTACTATGCTGCGCATATGGGGCCTCCTTTTGTCCGATATCCCAGCATCGATGTTGCGAACTCCACTTAAAGGGTTTGGTGCAGACCAGTTCCGCGCAGGTGTTAACAAAACCTCACGTTCTCCTTCGGAGGGCGATTCCTGACGAAGGGAAAGATGGAACTGGAGATTTTCCCAAGGAGGCTAGTCAAGTCGTCGTAATCGAGGGATTCTGCTACCGGCATGACTGGCTCCCGCACTCGAGAGATCGAGTCTCTGTGAGTAAATAGGTACTGTACCATATACTCAGGGAGGCCATGTGTATGGCCTGCTCACGGGCGGGTGGGGTTCTTAGGCTGAACTAGGCTGAACGCAAGCAACGGTCTCAGACTTGGGGAGCTTGCCATTGGCATGCAACTCTCTGATCGATGCAGGGTGTTTGAGATGGTGTTCATTGTTCCGTGCCTCCCTCCGGTCGCTTGCCGCTCACCGGCCGATTTCTTGATTCCTCAATAGCTTGGAGGGAGTACTGTACGTACTATCTATCTCTTTCTGCAAAGTTACCCCTCCTACTCTTCTTTCTCCTACCTACTTTGTGGTATTACATAGTACTGTATTTCTTTTGGCGGATGCATGACACTAAGCATGATTGGTTCCAAATAGTCCTCTATTCTCTGTCGTTCCCACCCGAGTGACCTTGTAATCTACGTCGCAAAGGCTAGAAGCCCGAGTCAATGCGACAAGTGCAGTAGAGTAAGTTGATCATGAAGATAGCAACTGACTGCACAGACAGTCTTCCGTCGGGGCACGGAACCGAAGTCAATACATAATACGGTACTGCGCACAATACATGACAGAATACGGCAGAACGATACGACCCTGACAGGAGCACTGCTTCTTACCTATCTTTAATGCCTCTCTCATCCTTTGATTATCATCCGACCTTATAGATGACCTTCTCGTCCCGAGCCTTACCTGGCCCACTATTCCCTGGGATGACCATATTTGCCTTACTGATGATTTGATCAGGCGAAAGCATATAAACAACATGCGTCTGACAGTACGGGAAATTGTGGAGAGGCCGTGCTCCCAAACGATCAGGCGTGTCGATTGAGTTGGTGGAAATTAGGAGTGGTTAGTGGCCCGGTTCAACGCGCAGACTAGGGTACCGTCTAGCTGCTGGTGATTACTAGTCGTTAGCATGGTCTCTATGGGACCTGGTGAGGTGCCCATTCGGTCGAAGTTTTCTTGATCAAGTGGGGAAAGTTGCCTGTCACCGTCAACATCATTATCAACAAGGAGACGGATGCCCATGCGATGATGACACTTAGCTTTTGCCAATGTTCAAAGACGCGGTCGGCCTGCGAATGAGGGTGCACCCACTTTGTCTGATCAACGCGCTTGGAGTTCGTTGGCGTGGTTATCTGTCGCATGCGATGAATAAATATCTGTCGTTGCGAACTTGCCGATCTCAGACCACCAACGACTTGTTAGAGATTACGAGATCGAGCAGGCAATGGAACTGTGGGTGGCTACGAGAGTTTCAACAGCTGAAACCAACCCCAATCCCAGCCCCAACCCGAGCCATAGCGCCGAGAATGACAGGGGAAAAGCGGAGCATCAACGACATCAAGCTCGCTAGAGCAAAATTCAGGAGCCACTCTTCTAAACCGAACGACGGGGGGATTTGCTTCCGCTTCCGGCGAGGTGTCCAAATCCCAAACCAACCCCATGAAGAAATAGAAGAGCGAAGAAAAAAAAAAGAAAAGAAAATACTAGAAATAAAATTAAAGCCCCTGGGCGGATCAGCCGAACATCGCTCAGAATGTGGCCTGGTGAGTCCCCTCTGATTCTATCCAGAATCAGATCGACTGGGCGGATCCGAACCTAAGACTTCGGATCCAGCAAGCGATACTAGGTAGGAACGTTGACGATGCTGATGCAGCGGGACCGTTTACTAAAATTGAGATTGCCTAGGAACCCAGCTTTCTAGACACCAGCCAATTGATTAGATATCTACGCCAAATGGCTATTGATGGTACCTATCTCCTTCCCCTAGCCAGTTTCGCTTCGCCCGGCCATTTCCCACGAGGTCCAGGTCAGGCACAACCCTAATCGAGGACCAAACTTTAGAGGGCAGGTGATGCGACTCCCCGGCGTCCCCGCTCCAATGCTTGAAGTCATCCACTGGTTGCAATCATCGATGGATGGAGTTTCAAGCTCTCATAGCAGGTTCAATCAAAGTGAATTCTTTCACTCTTCATGACTCGTATCATGGCCTCTTAACCAGTCCTCCTTCATCCGATACTCCTAGTCTTAGTGTGTCAAACAAAAACAGGTTAGAGAAAAGACAACACTGCCCCCAAAGAAAGCGGTCGCAGTAGCTGTTGCTTTTGCAATTCCAAGGTGGAGACCTCTTTAGCTTCCCTTGGCTTTCTTTCACCCTTCTTCTTTGTCTCTCATGTTCTGCCTTTCAAATTTGTCAAACCCCGGGCGTGTCTCTGATCAAACCTGGAATCTTGCTTCCGGGTAGTGATCGGCGCCTGGGGGGTAATATGCACATCACGTTGGCCATCGCATTAAACACCCATACTAAGCCCCCGGACCCCTGTCTCGCCGTTCACTTATCTCGAAAAGACTAGGGACACTGAGGGCTCACGTCTGCCCACATCTTAAACCTCAAGGAGGATCATCCGGCTCGCTTCAATTGCCGGGGAAAATGGTCTCATCAATTAGATTGCTTCTTTGTCCTTTAGACAGAGTTCAATGTGCAGGCCGTGTTCCTCTGCTTCCCCATTTTCCCTGTTTTTTGCCTTCCAACCCCGTGGATTGACTTGTCAATCAACGTCATCACCGGCATCATCTTTGAATATGTTTTTCTGAGGAGGGGATTCAGCGACAATCATTCTGGAGTCTCATGCCACTCATGAAAAGGACATAGCCTAGCACCTACGGTGAAGCCGTGACTTCAATCAGGGCCGACCACTGGCAAGTTCGCCCCGCAGGCCGACCCCACTGGGCTAATATTAGTCTGTGATAGCCTCCGTCGAGGCCGTTTCCTAAGTCAGGGTGGCAGACTAGCCATCATCATCACATCGTCACTCCCTCTGAAGACTAGCTGGATGCAGGATAGCTCTGGAGACCACCAGATGTTTGGTGTCAACTGGCAGCCAGTCGCTATGGAATAATTATTAGTTTGCCTGGTCTACCCATTTCGTGTATGATACATACCCATCATAGTCTACGGACGCATGCCAGGCTGACTGAAGCTACCTGTGTACATTCATACTTTGCCTACTTGTCCTGGTTCTTAACCTATTCTATTGTGGAAATGAGAGTAGTGTACTCCGTACTGATAACCGCTCGATTCTGCGCATGTAAACATCCATCGAGCAAAGGTGGCAGCTGGCCATATAGTTAGCATGTAGTGTATGCGCGTGTATATTACCATACACAATACTCACATACATACGAAGTACAGTACGATACCACCATGCACCTTCCTCTTCCTTTCTTCCCTCCCTCCCTCCCTCCCTTCCTTCCTTCCCTTACGGACGGACCGGCGTCGGCTTTCCCGCGATTGTCAGTTCAGTGCATCCCACTTCAACTACCTTGTCTTCATCCACATCCACATCCACATCCACATCACCTCTCCATGGAGAGTATCTCGACTGGGGTGAATGCAATCTTGATCGGCTCGGTCCTTCTTGGCAGGAGACAGCGGCCAGCCCTAGGGATGTGGTCGACTGACTTGCCTTAGTCCTGTCGCAGCTCACCCACCCCTCGGGGTTGCTAAATCCGGACAAGAGCAAATGTTTGGTGCTCAACTGGTACCTTGGCGTTCGGCACTCTGGTGCCGATCGCGTTTTTCTTTCTTTATCTCTTTCATTCTTTCTAAATTCTGTCCTCTTACTCTATTCTCCTCATGTCCTTCGATTTCAAATCACGGGGAGGAAGCGAACCATGGAAAGAACCGAGGCTTTTTACTTTCGGGGGAGGGAGGGGATGGTGGATATGGTTCCTGTTCCCCATGGCGGGTGTCTAATCTCCCCGAATGCAACCATCCCGCGGGGGAAGAGGGTACGGTAAAGAGAGAAAAAAAATAGAGGAAAAGCGTGGGTGGGATTGGAATGAGTTATTTTTCCGGCTCCAATCTAACAGCAGGCTAGCAGGCTAGCAGCAACCCTCTAGCATCGACAAGGACCGATACTTTCCGACATGATTTGCGCGTGGATCGCGATCTAGCCACCGAAGGCTTCTCCCGCTGGAGCTCCGCTGGCTTTGGTTGTTTTGTTTCATTTTACTCACTCAGACATGGTCCGCCTAGCACTTTCTGGAGGTCTCGACTTCGGCCGGATCGGCTCCGTCTGTTCTCCATATCTGCGGCCCCATCTTCCATGGGAAGGGCCGAGAAAGCGAACGTGCTCTATACAAACATGGTATAGACCCATCAACTTGTTCTGGAGCCGGCTGGCTCTCTTGACTCAATCTGCTTGCTCTACCAGCAGGCAATCGCAACGCAAAAGAGGTATTTCTCCACCCTGGGAAGCGCACTGCTCATCAACAGATTGGTTTCTTGCCCTCATGACTAAGCTTACGCGCATCTTCTTTGTTGCGTCGCACGTTGTACGGACCCCATGAGTCAGCGGCAGGTTAATCTCGAACTTGAAAGAGAACAACATCCAACGTTTCCGTGGAATAGCGACGGGCAATAGGAGCTAGAGCACTCAAACCACCATACATCAACAAGCAAGCAGACTCCCAACCGGGCTATTCTAGACCATCCTAGGCCGATCGCTACCGAAGGCGTCATTTTACATAAGCTCCCCTCCCCGACGGAACCGCAAACTGGCCCTAGCTGGCTCGGAGGGGAGATTTTGGCACATACACATCCAGTAGTAGAATGCTTTGCCTTTAACGCCACTCTCTGCTCCAAGGGGAGGGTGGGAATTTTCTCCGCACTGTAGCCGCCTCAGTCCGGGCACGGAGCGTTATTTTAGTCGGCAGGAGAATCAGCCTGGTTGTTTATGAAGGAGGGCCCTATGATAACCTCAGCATAGCGGAGACTGCGTACGCGGCTTGATTAAGTGATTGAATCTCAGGGCTCCCGGAGCTACGAGAGGGATTGGCCCTCGTCGGAATCGGTCGGACTCATGCGGACGCCGTGCCCGGTCAACCGTCGAAGGTTTAGTGTGGGTGTGGTGGATGTGCCAGCAGGATTGGAGGGGCCGGGTTGTGGCTATAGTTTCGCCCGGATATACTGTGAAAACCCGGCTCGAATCCGAAGAATAACTCTGCTGCTTTATTTACTTGCTCTCGACTAGCCAACCGACTATTGCCGTTGTGATGCTGCTGCTGCTGCTTATTGACCATCATCATCCTTAGGTCAGTTGCCAGTTCTGCTGGCTTCCAAGCGAGCAATATGATTCGATGTTAATCCCGCTGTGGGATTCTCATTGGAGACGGTTGTTGTTTGCGATCTAATCTCCGGATTAAATTAGAGGGGCTACGTAAGTGGTGGCTTCTTTGCTTGCACTGTCGCTATCGACCTACCTATTTGGGAGTCAGGACTATGGCAGGAATTGTGACTGTACGTACAGTACTCCCATGCATCCTTCTTACCTCGATGCGACTGATCTTTCACAGAGCTCTAACTTATCGCCAGGGAAATCCGATGAGTCCCGAGCTTCCACTTTTCAATCATGATTGAAGATGATATGTAAACACCGTGTCTGCCAATCCCCCTCTGTCTGTTCAAAACGTACCCGTCCGAGCCCTAAGTGGGAAAGTAACTTAGTCGCAGTGACCGGCTGTGCGGCCCCACCATCCGCCGCGGAAATGGAGTCTCGTTCTCCATTGTGGGTGGTGAACCAGTTTCCTACTTGTATATCCACCACAATCGGAAGAATTGCTAGCCTAGCAAAACCCACTCCGTTCACTCCACTCAATTAGCCCGATCACCGTGCGAACCAGACAAGAAGGATGTCACGGGCCCAGGCCTTTCTCCTCCCCCATCAGCACTGTACCTCGACAGTTAGATCCCGTTTTTACCGTTAGTGACTTTACAGAAAGGCACAAACAAACAAGGAAAGACGGTAAGGTAAACCGCCATGAAATGGCCCTCCTCCTCCTCCTTCCACCCCCTTTCACCCCTCACACCTTGCCCAAACTTTCTCCCATCCCCTCCCTGGTCTGACAGCGGTCAATTCCACATGGAACATACATGGTTAGGTGCATAGGGCATGTCGGTCCTAATTTCCTTTATGTGTGTGGCTGCCGGGTTTACCATGGGTCCATGGGTCCATGGGTTTAACTGACCGTCTGGACCCGGGAAAATCCCCTACGCACTGACGGCGGCTAAGAACGGGTGATTGTCGACTACGATGGGATATCCTGGTTTAGTACTGTGGGTGCTCCCGCCGTAAGGGAAGGGAAGGGAAGGGAAGGGAAGGGAAGGGAAGGGATGAGGGATTGGGGATGAGATGAGGAAAAGAGGATCAGTTGCTGTTTATACTTTTTGGGTCTAGGCGTTTCCGTTCCCGGTTTGCGATTATACGCATACGTATACGGGACTTTTGATGTGGGAGTAGGTGAAGTGTAAAGTGTAAAGTGTAAAAGGTACGGAGTAGTCCGTGTAGTTGAGGGGGTGAATTTTCCTTTTCCCTTAGGGATCGTGCTAATTGTGCATTATTATGAGGAAGGTGTGGTTCAGCTTTTAGTTAGTTAGTGGCTACTAGAGCTACTGTATGATTGCTGCAATCTAGCACTACGGACCGAAGACTACGTTGCCAGAGACTAGCTAATATAGTCACTTTTCGCTAACCTACCAACTGGATAGTTCTCTCTTACTCGGAGGAGCATCTAAGCCCCTTCCCCCTCTAACATCAACAACTAAACCTAACTATAGACAGACAAATTCTACATAGTAGCACCCCCATCTCAAAGACAACAACAATAGAAACACCGGACCACCGTCCCACCACTCAACTCCCAACTCCGTCCCTCACAAAAAAAAAAAAGGGGGGGGGGGGGAAACAACGATCTCAAACCCCGACCTGCTCAGCATCATCCAAAGATGAAGTCCACAAACAAAGAAAGTATAAAGTAAAGCCCCCCCCCTTCCAGTCCTGTAGGCAATAACATTTGAACGGAACGGAGGGGGAAGAAGATCTCTTTCCTAGACAGGACAAACCCCCAATTCTCTGTCAGGTCAGGTCAGGTTATTCCCCTCTTTGATCTTTGGTCTTTGGTCTTTGCGAATCCCGCTGTCTAGTTGAGTGGAGATTTTTGCTGGCTGATTGCGATTTTGGTTTATCGTGTCGCGTCGCGGGTGTTGGGGTGGATGAAAGTGTGTGTAGGAATATGCATGTGGGCAAGGATGGTGGGGATGCAAGTAGTAAGCAAGCAGGCAGGCAGGCAGGTAAGCAGACAAGACAGGCAAGCAGGCGTATCTAGTGGGGACTGGACTTTGGCCTAGATTCTCGATTAGTTAGACGTTAGACTCTACCTTCGCGGTAGTAATATTGCTGCTGGTTTGTGTATGGATTGTATTCGTGTGGATGTGTTGTATAATATCCGTGTTTTCTGACCGGCATGAGGATGGTTCTAGGGTGTGCACAGTGGCTGAGGCGGGAAGCAGGGAGGTGTTAAGGTCAGGTACGGTCAGGTCAGGTAAGGTCAGGTAAGGATGAGAGATGCGATGAGCATGGTCAATCAGCATAGCATAATGGGATTGTTTGTCAGGTTTCAGGGGGACGAACGGTGGAGGGAAGGAAGGGGATGCTTGCGATGGCAATGGTATGTTAGGGGCAATGGGTTATCTTTTCCACGGTTTTTCCCTGCTCCTGCTCTGCTCAAGGGAGAGGGTTTATGCTGTAGTTACCTCAACATATAGTGAGTGTAGTGTACTTCTGGGGGGCGATGTAGAGGTGGGGAAGGATTAGATTGTCCGTTCTATGCTCAAGGGTGGGTTGCTTGGATTGAGTACCTAGGTATAATGTTATTGTGCTGAGCACTCACGGTAGTAAACAGAAAGAGTAGGTACTGATCCTATCCTACCACTTTCCAATATCCTGTACACCCGTCGCCTCGATACTGTAGTCCTCTCTAGAGAAGATGAATCCTCCCACGGTAGGGATACTATCAACCGCATCGCTACCCCCTCCCCCTTCCCCTTCCCAAGACAGCGTCCCCAAAGCGCCAGTGCAATAACCCCTCAAGACAGAGACCCAAACACCACCACCCCACCTGCTACATCGTCAACCTCACGCCCCAACACCCGTCTCAAAAAGCAACAACACCTCCCAAACCAGCAATCAAACAACCACTCAGCTCAACTCAACCCTAACTAAATCAGGCTAATCCCCCAGCCAGCCAGTGGATCTCCAAACAACGGTTACCGTTTGTTTGATCCCAGTCTCAACACACACGCCTCGAAGATCATCAGCCAGCTACCAAGAAAGCAAACATGGCCGTCAAAGAAACGTACGATCTAGCTGACAACGAACGTCGCAAACATCCCCCGGTCTCCCCATTTTGGAAATGCCCAACGGTATTCCGGTTGTTGGCATGATGTGATAATCGGCATTCATCACGCAGAAAGAGGAGAGAGAGAGAGAGAGAGAGAGAGAGAGAGAGAGGGCAACGACGGCAAAAGCAATCCACAGTCCGATGGACATGCCGCCTCCCCCTTACTGGGTGTATGGAGTGACATGTTTCAATAGGGAGGTTTAGGCTTGAGTGGTGTTCTGCTCTCGTCGAGGAACTGCGGCCTTCTTTTTGCTTCTTTGGACGGGCATGTTTGTTTCCTCTCTCTCTCTCTCTCTCTCTCACTTTCTCTTGCATCGTAATGCCTCCTGACTCGTTCTCTTAGGACATCGAGCCGAGACTGTTGCGTGAGAGAAGGGGTGGAGAACAGAAACCGAGAAGGGGAGGAAAGTGCTTCTATCTGGAACTTAGAACAACTGGCTTGATGGTGCACTGAGATTTTACTTCATTCGGCAATACTCTCAATCCAATTAATTAATTTCCGATGAACAATAGCTGATAGACAGATAAGATTAAACTACACTACCAGCATCATGGTGGGTGGTCACTTCAATGATACCCCATTTCCGTTCGTTCCGCAGTTGATTCATTGGATGCAATCGAAGACACGGCTTATCACCTATCCAAGGCATCTTCTACTTGTCGAACGATCCTCTCGTGTCCGGTAATGACTGTGGCGACCACTTTTGGGCATCCTCTAGATGCCAACAAAAAGGTGTAGGAAGAAAAGACAGGGTGGCTGAGGTGAAACCCCCTGGTCCCTGCCTTCCCGTCGAGTCCCTGTTGCTTCACCCCTCGTACGGGGTCAGACATCAACTCAAGCGACAGGTTCATCCAATAGTTCGGTAAGGAGATGCCAGATAGGTCTGCTACCTTGCTCACATCAGGAAATTGGGGTCTGACAAAATCATGCTTATTTCTGCGCAAACGCTAGGCAGAGGTTCTAAACTGCACCGGTAATATACTATAGACACAAACATGAGACATGCATGGCGTCGTCGAAAAGTAAACATATATACTGTGAAAATGCCACCCAGGGAAAGGATCGTCTTGATCGCCTGCAGAAGTAACCAAGGCCAATCCTCTGTCTTCCACCAGAACTCAAATCCAACCATGCTGCACAACACCAACAATCATGGCCACATGTACAAGTCACATTGCTCACCAGGTGCTCTTCGGTTGACCGGATTCGGTCGCCTGTAGCACAAGGTATCGGATACCCACGACTTGGGTGTTGGTCTCCCTGAGCACGCGCAGCAGCATAGCCAGTCAGCGAAATAGTCGGGTGGCACAGTGTCACCATGGCTTGCACATAGTCAGAAGACCAGATGGCATCTGTCCTCCTTCGACCGCCGAGGATATTTGGCAGAAGCTTTTCCACTCCTGGGCTCTCCTCAAATGATAGCACAGTAGGACTGTACACTGCATGCGGTAAATCCAGTTGGCATTGAGATAGTCTCAATTGCTTGATCGCCCCAGCGCACTCGTACAGACAGCTAATGCACCTGCTGTAATAGTCGAATCATGAACCGCCCTTGCTATCCAGAGCCTTGTCGTTACGCATTCTGTTGTCGTTCGCGACGATCGTGTCGCTCCTGATTGGTACTGAGATGAGATCACATGGCCATCGGAGATATCACTATACAGAGACAACGAGAGGAGAAAGCGAATCTCGAATGAGGAAATCTTCCGACTGGTACCCAGTTCACGCCGCTGCTGGGGCGGGATCCGCCGGGGTCTTTGGGATGGCCTTGGATTCAGACGATGCTTCAATGGCCAACGGTGATTCATCTGAGCCATCATCTTCATCATCGCTCGAAGAGTCAACCTTGCGTCCGCGGCGACGGTCTTCCTCGCGACGTCGACGCTTTTCTTGAATATACTCGTGATAACGAGCATCTAGCTAGTTGTCAGTATGCACACGCATCATCGGAGCAAGGACCTTGACACATACCTCGGATTTCCTGCGTTTTGACGGCGTATGCCTGTATCTCTTCCTTGCTCAACACACGCAAAACAATCACGTATTCAGAACGTTCCTCATAACGTTCGCGACCGAGTTCCAAGGCAGCAGGGTTGACCAGTCGCCGATCAATCTTTGTCCACCTTGCCCCTGGAGGAATGCCCTTCTTGTGAGCATCTTTCAGAGGTGCCACGCCTTCTCGCACAGGGTTCGGCTCTTCGGGAAATTTGGCACGTGGCGGCTTCAGGATACCCTTGGGGGCAGGGGGATCCTGATCCTTCGCTGCCGCCGATTCATGCTTCTTCAGCTCATCAGGGGAGCTGAGTCTTTCCTGCCTGGTACCATCCTTGGCCGGCGTGTCCTCTGTACGACGTCTCGACTGAGATCGAGGACGAGGAGCGCGATTCACAGTCAGGTACTGGGATACCCGGTCGCTGCTGCTCGCTGACGCGTCGGAGCCATCTCGCCTTCTATGTGCCGACGGTTCGCGTCGGTATTTCTTCAAATCCTCGTCGGATGTATAGGAATCGGAGTCGCTTTCATCACGACGTCGGGACCGTCGCCTCCGGGATCGACTATGATGTCGCCTGTTTTCATCCTCACGACCCGCTTCACGGGAACGATGGTGTTCGGTCCGAGGGGAAAGCCCATAGTCGAAGTCATCGGGGTATCCTAGAACAGCGGTTCCCAGCCCAGTGCTCGTCCCGGAAATGATTGAAGTTCTGGATGAAGACTTCCGTGATGAACGATCGTCACGAGAGTACCGATCGTCATCATGTCGTCTATGCCGGCGGCGACGATGACGATGATCTTCGTGCTCCGACCGGTAAGAAGAGTAACCCTCATCAAGGTCCTGGTGCACGGAAACTGGGACTCTTTGCAGTGACCGCCGTCGAGCGTTCGAGCTCTCCACATCGCTATCAGCCGAACCATAGGTTGAGCGGCGTACACGGCCTCCTTGGTCAATGCGATCAAATCCTCTCTGTGATGGAGGTGGACCCAGTGCCCGGGATTCCTTTCTTGATTGCAATTGAGGGTCATCCGGGCCAGTCAAGCTGAGGGGTCTATCCCTGTGATAAGCACGCTGGTCACGGCGCATTCTGGCAGCAGAGTCCTTCTCAAATTGTTCACGAGGATTGGTGTAGGAATAGGCATCATAATCATCAATGTCTTCTCCTTTTCGAAGACCCCCGGTCGGCGGATAACGCCAGCGAGGACTGTGGTCATAGGCCGGGTAGGCATTGTGGGGGATCCGTGCCATAGCCATCTTGTCCGTCAGGTCTAGACGGCCAGTATCACTTGCATGATCGGTGCTGGAAGGCTGATGACGTCGGTGGTGTCTGTGCGAAGTTGCGGGCACCACGTAGCGGTCCGGGGCTCGCTGCGGGCTTGGAGACCGGTGATGACCCGGAACTATGACGGGAGAAGCCCTGGATAGAGGAGAACCAGAAGCCTCATATCGACCGGGAGCATACTGAATTTCGACGGCGGATGCGGTATTGCTCCTCTGCCTCGGGCGGATAGCGTATTCGGTCCTCAATTTGGTCGAGTGGCCGGGGTCACGGTACGTTGTTGAGGAAATCGGTTGTGCCTCCAATCGCGGCTCTCGCACATGTCGTGAATCGTAGGATGGGATGTAGTTGACATCAGGGTGATAGCCTGAGTGTGTTGAGCGATTGGTGAGATCGTATGGATCGTAGGAAGAACTGAGCTGCACAGTGCCGGTGGAGGCGCGCATGGGATCCATCATACGCGAGCCATTGGGAGACATGGGCCGGTAACGCACAGCGGGACCCATATTCTGTACCCTTGCAGACAGCAACAAGCGAGATCCGACCGGGAAAACAAAGCAGATGGATGACAATGTAGGTGGTCACAAAAACTCTGTGACGTCCTAGAGGATAAAATGGGAGCAATCAGAGAGGTAGAAATCACTGCCGGGAAAAATAAAGACACGGACAAGAAAAAAGAAAAAGAAAGGTTGGTGGATTGGGAAAAGAAAGAAGAAAAAAGGTTATTTTGGGCACCAGGCCAGAAAGCTATAGAAGATGACGACAAAAGCCCGAGGGGCGAAAAGATCTCCAGATAAGACACCAGCACCCGGCAAGCTCGATAGAACCAGAGACAGAGAAGGAAAAAACTCAAGTCAATTGAGCTTGATGCCTGAAGCCACAGGCCACCAGACCGAGGACCGGGAGGGCGGGCAATACCTAATATATGGAAGGCTGGAAAGCACAGACTGATGAAACTGGGAAATTTGACAGTGGATCAAGGGGGAGGGGTTGAGAATGACTGAGGGGTCAGTCTCAGTGACAAGAAATTTGATCAGAATGAAATGAAGATTTGAAGCAGAAGAGCACTGCTTACAGCAAAGCACAGTAACCCGGAGACCCTGGAGCTATGATCGTCACCCGTTTGAGAATGGAAGAAGGTGTGACGCAAGACACTGGAGAAGTCTCCGGTGCACACAAATCAGAGGAAGATTGATACCAATCCACTCCAAGACACACCCCATACAAGAGCGGATATGAACGGAATCCCCACTTGTGAACAAGTGTGAACAAGTGCAGAGAGTGTAGACCACGCGAGTTTGCGATTGTCTGATCAGAAAGATGCTGGCGAGAGGAGGGTGAAGATGAAGATGAAGAAAGTGAAAGAAAATCTGAGTTCTTTCAGGGTGATACTATCTATCTGGTAAGTAAGGTAAGTGATTGAACATACGAGATGAGGGAACAATGGAAAGATGATGGATGATGGGGAAGGAAGCAAGCAATGGATGAGTGAGTGGCTTGCTCGAGTAAGCCGAAAGAAGAACTCAATGGAGAACTCCCGGCCTGACAAGCCTAAGGCAGCCACAGCCGGGTGTAGTGCCAGGAGGTGCCCGTGGGAGAAAAAAAAAGGTGGAAAATGGCAGGCAGGAAAACGTGCAACCAACCACGGTTGGCCCTCGGCTCTCCCGCCACGGTCCGTGATTGGTTTGAAACCAAGTTTACGCTTACTTCATCTTCATCCACGGGCCATAAGTTACATTCAAGTGGTTAACTATGGTCTATTCAAATGTCTTGGACTCTCTCTCTCTCTCTCTCTCTCTTTCTCTGATTGTCTCGTCCTAGTGGAGACCATCGCGTGTGTGTGCTCCTCTTTTCGAGTTTCTCTTACACTCATGGAATCTTTCTTCCTTAACCGAGAACAATAGGACCTTCGAGTCCCCATACACACAAGACTACTGTATCAAGTCCCCCACTATCCTCAATTCCACCCCCCCTCCCTTCGTTTTCTCTGCCAAATTTCCACAAACTAGGGGGTAGATGGGACACTAACACACTATGGTATGGCAGATTCCATTTTCCAATCGACTCTCAAAATTCGAATTCAACCCAACCCTACTCCCATTTCCAGTCCTCGTGCCCGGGCTGATTACCCGGTGCCGTTACCCACCACGTTACAACTTGCCAAGCAAGGAGAGCGGATGACATCACGCCGAACAAGTCTGAGGCCGTCGGCATGTTGCTCATGGCCCCATTCCGGAGCCGACCATCATCAGCCCGAGTAACATTAAAGGGCTGTGAATGGCCCAGACTCATACCAGTGGGGTAGGGCGGGCTTTCTAGAAGAACAGGAAGGCGACCAGTCTGAAGCAGTCCAGTCCAGCGCTCACAGCCTCGCAAGCCCCCCCGCCCACCTCTACTCCGTAAACTAGGCCGAACTTCCACCACTAACACTGGGTAGCGTCGATCCAGGGGGCGGTGCTCGATCACAGTTGCTCAATGGATCTTGCTTGCAGTCTATCTGTGTCAACTGCGGACCTCAACACCCGGATCCGCCCCGCGGGTCTTCTCGAACACTGACATTGGTCTTCGAAGACCCAAGAACCGGGAACGCTGTGCCCTGCAGTGGCCCCGGTCGCAGACGCTGCGCTGTGTCGGCCTCGTGGCAGGCCCGAAAAGTCGGCCCTCGAAAGGCCCTGGCCAGTTTCTGCTGTCAAGCAAGTGACCAGGCGAGCATTCACATGCCTTGGGCATATTCCGCCCTCTCTGAAACAACGGCGACCTTCCGCTCTGGTCAATAGATGGCCCTTGCTACTACTATCACCCACCTCCGACGCTTCATGAATTGCTTCACTAGCCGGCCCGGGTGCGCGATTTACGTTGCGTGCCTCAGCGTCCGTTTTCCACGCCACTAACCGAGATGACTGGAGTCTATCCTTACAAGTCCTTGTCCCCGCCACATCGCTAGAAAGCATCTCGAAACGAATGTGACACGGGAGGGAAGACTGTACTGAAACAACTCCTAGCAAGCCATCCCGGTGAGATCTTCGTGGCACGGGAATCTTAAATTATGATAATCTATCATCACGGAATTTTAATCAATTCCTCTCCTCCTCCCCGTACATCCCTTATTTCCTGCATGTCTCTGAAGATATTTTCTCTGGGATACAGCATGCGCATGTCTTCCTCGAGTGATCCTGCTAAGTAAGCTGAGCTGCCAGGCACCATGCTTGAGATTTATGTACAGCTGACCGTTCCGAGGCCAATCACAGCCAGAACAGAGGAGACTCATCCGTCACTACAAGGCTGATCCGTTGCCCGCCCTACCGGCCTGATTTCTGCAGGCTTAAACCTACCTCACGCTCAGTGGCATAACCATACATCTACTGCCGTGATGATCTTCTTTTGACTCACAGGTAAATAGATCATATCAGGCGTCTGCTTTCAGGTGTCACCTTCGGCCTTGAAAGAGGCTTGCTTGCAAATGCCCATTCTTGGCCTCCAGTCGTGGCTTAATCGCCCGGGTGTTGAAGCTCAAGCTAGACCAGCATCACGATCCTCTGAGTGGTTGGTAAACTCACTATCTTCAGCTGCAATGGTGGCCAGGGCTCTGTCGTGTCGCGGCGCAAATTCCCCCGGGTACATGACATTTGGTACATGGGCATCTCAACGACGACCTATGATGGAGTTGTGCAGGAGAATCTCGCATTTTTTGACACAATGAATGAAATATTAAAGCTTCATGATGGGGATCCAGCACACCTTCCATCTTTGACACCAAGCATCAAAGAAGGGTGCAACATCATTCTGGTCAATTGGAAGCAGACATCAAAAACAAAGTGCTTACAGTCACACATATTCTTCATCAACCTAGCTCAAATACCCTTCCAAATCATCGTTACTAACAACCTACCTACCCGAAAGGGGCTCCCCAAAGTGACTAGTTAGTGGTCACCACAATCCCTTGATAACGGCCTACCGGCTTCAGGATCTACCACAGGTCACAGCCATGAACTCCACCATCCGCACCTATACCTCTCCCAACGCTGCTAGACCATCGATGGCCGACTGGTGGATCTGCTGTGCCTGCGGCTCGGAGAACAACCCTGCATTGAGCTTCGGCCGATGCACGGTTTGCGACCACGCAGCTTGTCATTCCTGTCAACAGGCATAATCGTGCTTGGTATGGGGTCCATCCACGGCTCTGCTCCCCATGGCTCGACAATGCAATCATCCATCCGCACATGACTGATCCTCCCACATCCTTTGAACACATCTCCGTGGCAGGTACAACGCGTACACTGTCTGCAAGCTCTACTTCTGCTGCACAGGTGGCGTTCATGTATTATGGCAACTTTCTGGGGATATCTTTGTCTTCAGCAATTATTCGGTTTGGTCTTATCCCTTTAGTCTCACTGTATACATATCTTCCATGAACCTCAGCGATCGAATTTCAAGCATCCTTGTTGGACCACCCTTAGACAGGCTACCACACGATAACTGTGTCGATCGCCTCCATCAAACGATCGAGCATCTCGCACTACCGCCTTCACACGTAGAACCCAACAGTCGTAGCCGTCGAAATACAATCAGATGCTGCCGAGAAAAACAAAAAAAAAAAAACAAAAAAAACCATGCAAACTTCCTAGATCTAAGATAGCTGCACCACATCCCATGCCATTCTAGTAATGCTCCAAGGCAGCCAGCCCATTTCTTTAGTATGTACATGCGAATATGATCCTCAACCCAAGCCCAGTCCAGTCAGCTGAGCGCCGGCCACCTTCCTCATCCCAGAAACCCTCCTTCCTTCCTACCTATCTGCTTACTGAAACCAAAACATAGTCAACAACAACTACCACCTTCTCCTCACTTTCTATATAAAGACCCCTCTGTTTCTAAAAGATACTCAAAGAAACCCCCCCTCCTCGACCAGGCACCATTAAGCACGCCGCGCAGTACAGAGCCTACCCAGCCGCCCGCACACACACGCCATCCGCATTGCCCAGCCTTCAGACCCCAAAAAGGTCAGAATCGGGTACAGCCTGGCAGTATTTGAGTCTCACCACGCAGTACATCATATACTTGGTCGGACCTAGATTGACAATATCTCTGGCGGTGTCCCTGAAATCGGCGAAAAATTCCGGAAGGGGGGGGGGGGGGAATACTAGCACTCGCACTCTGTAACAATTCCATGCCATGCATGCATCTGTTCTTCTGAACTTTTTCCCTACCTTAATTCTCGTCGGGAGGTCTATTATCACAACTTGATTGGTGATTCTGTCATCCAGAATAAAGATTTGGGCTCCTTGGTCCGGTCTCCTCTCTCTTTCGGCTGATCTTTGTTTCTTGATCTAGGCATTCTGTGCTTTTAGCTACTGCACCGCTTCTCTGCAGTTTCATCGGCGTGGATTGACAAGCCCCAGCTCAAGCAGAGGAAACTGTACACTTTCCGTCTGCGTCGTCATGGGAGATGGGATGTCTTTTGGGGGGGGGCTCTGGAATGGATGAACTGGAGGCGGATATCTCAACGAGAATGTCGATGATATATATCTCGGCAAGCGTGGACCTAATTCTACGACGGAAATTGGGAATGCTTCATCATACAACACGACCACAAATATACTCCCCATGCCATACTAGTATTAATTCGATTAGCCTGAGTAGAAGTGGGACCTTGAGCGCTCTATACACAGAACAAAAAGACCGGTGCGCCTGACCACCAAGTTAAACATGACAAGGTTTAACCTGAAAGAAAAGAGAAAAGAAAAATAGAAATGAAGGCATAAGAAAAAAAGTCCAAGCCGCAAGCTGAACTTCAGATTAACGTAAACCAAAGCAATGGCATAAGTATTATAGGACCAAGCCAGTCTCTCGCGCTTGCGTACTTCGAGCTCAGGTCCGTTAAGGACGACTCTCATCCAAAGCTGGCTTCTCAAGCCCGGCCTCTCGCTTCAGCCGTGACACCACGGGTCCAAATTCGAAAAAGCTGTCGGAGTCCTTACGGACGACACACGGACTCTGCTTGAGCGGCACAAACCAGTCGATGATGTTGAAGCCAAGCACCTGCTGGAGGTTCTTGAAGGGACTCCCGAGGTCGAATGGGTTCTCTCCGGGTAGGGTTTGGAGAATTGCGAAGATGTGTTGTTCCCCGGGCGGCTGATAGTTCTTCTGGGCCTCGGGGGTGAGGGGCATCGGGGGTAAGGGGTACGTGATGGTGCGGAAGGTCGGGGCCCAGCGAGAGTCGGGATTGAGCCGACCGAGCAGATGGTTCGGCACGCGAATGGCTAAGGTCCACACGGCTGACCGACGATTGATATTTTCGATCGTCGTCAAGTTCAACATGGCGAGTTGCATAGAGCTGAGGGTCATTCCAAAAGTAAAAAGTCCAAAGAAACCGCTCCTAAATGGTAATGTTAGTACAGTTAAGAGGTGTGAAGAGGGACGGAAGACAAAGACTCACAATCCAATTCCAACAGCCAGATGAGGATTCGCCCCTCCAGTCTGTTCAGAAAAAAAAGGTTAGTGGAGAATCCAATTACAGCTGCATCGCAACCATACCTGGCGTTTGATCTCAGCAGTAAACACTGCACAAACAACTAAGCAAAAGATGCAATAGAGCGCAGTGTAGAACACGAATTGAATGAAGAATTTGAAGGATGTCTCAGAGACCACTCCTCCGACCCTGTAGGCTGAGTTAGCACTGCCACATAGACAAGGCATATCTGGAAGATTTCCTCACCAAGGGCAGAAGTGGTCCATCTTGCGAACACATCGGTCAACCTCCCGACAATGGTGAGTCCGATCAGGCTTGAAATGACAACATGTGGAGCAGTACAAAGGTCGGCCATCCGGCTGGCAAACAAAAACGTCTTTGGTGTAAAAGGTCTCCATCCCATGTGTATCCCAGGGAATCATGTCCCCGTCCGCGGTCGAGTCGGCCCCGCTCTCCACATCTCTGTCTATCGCGTTGGCCTTTTCCACACTTCTATGCCGTCGATGTCTCTTCTTCTTTCGATGATGGCGACCTGATGACTGGGGTGGTGTAGGTTCAGTCTCTGCTGGCGGGGGAGCTTTTCGCGGCAGGAGCCCGGCATTCCAGGTTACGGTATGCAAGAGTCGGAAGTATGTTGTCAGAACGAGCAGGAGAAGGACGTAGTAGATCACGAGGATGGCGATTCCCGCGCCAGCGTGACTGTCGCGATCATACTTGGAAAGGGGATGAATCAGATAGTCGACTATAGGAACGCTTAGTCAACCAGATCAGCCAACGGATCCTCGTCTGAAGTAACTCACTGCATAAGGGCTTGGTGACCGCATAGGATGCATATATAAAGACACATAGTAAGAAGGGAGGGATGGCCCTGGCGACCGCTAGATTGATTCGCCTGTCAGGCCGCGCCATTGGAAGTTAACCGCGAGACGGGTTGCAGGCACCTCCGCATCGGAGAATTGTCAGGGTCGGCAGGGGTCGCTCTAGCCTGCAAATGTATCCATATTCTTGCGTCTAGACAAACAATGGGTATGTACAGTGGAGACCCGAATAGAAGAGATAGAAGGCAATTGCCCTGGCGGTGCCTGATGAACGAGGATGGATGGCACGGGGAGGAGGGGAGATGATCATGGATTGGGGATTGGGGATCGGATTCCGACCCAGCACGTGGTTTGCAAACCAGGCAAACACAGCTCATGATGTCATGTCACATGACAGGGCTTATCGCTCGAGTACGGAGTACTTCGATAGATGCCCCATTCCAAATCACCTTTTCAACCGACTACGTAGCTACCTCTTACTTACATTCATTTTTCTCTCAAGAAAATCTGCTGCGCTATACCGGTCTCATACTATAGAATGTCCTCCTTGGTGACTAACAATGAACTTTGGCCCCAATACCCAGCTCAATGCATGACGATATCATAATACCGGGATGTGAGTTATGACCTCGAGGCTCAAGCCGGCAACCCCGGAATCGCTCATTTGTTTGTCGAGCGTGAGACACACGTGTCTAGTGCGGCTCAACTAGTGATTGTCCTAGATCGGTACTAAGATCCGCCCTCTCGGCCACACGCTATCCGCGCACTGGTCAAAGGCTTCAATTTTTTTGCCTGCCAAACTAAATCCCTCTCCTCGTGGATTGTCTTAGACTGTGGGGACGTTTCATCCATGTGGCAGCCTATGTACCTGACAGCCATAATCACATCCTTCGAGAGCTGGAAGTGGGGGAGTGAGTGAAGATAGTCGTAATGGAATATCTGGGGACGCTGAGAACCTGCTTTGGCAAGCCCTGTGGAAGTTGCCAGCTATGACGCGCAAAGGAAAACGGTTTGCCAGGGGTCACACGGAATCGAGTCCACGGCATACCGGTGATCTGACTATGAGTAATAGTGACAAGTAGAGCTGAAGTCTGGAGTAAGGCTTCCAGAACCAGCCGGGGCAATGGGAACATCCAGTGGGCAGAGGTCGAATGAGAAGCGATCATTACAACTGGGCTTTTGAGCAGTGAAGAAGAGAATTGGGGCTGGTCGGTTTCAAGGCACACCAGACACGAGGGGCTATAGAGGCCAAGCGTTATGATCAAAGTCGGGGACTCCGAACAATACTAGTAGTAGTAATGACTGAGAGTCAAGGGCAGGGCCAAAGGACAAAAGTCCGATGGGAAACCGATCGAAACATTAGCAATAATGCAGCGTGGAGAAAATCAAAGTTAGCAATGAGCGCGAGTGAGCGATCAGTCATCGCGATGGTTCCCAAACGTCATTTGCAAAAGGGCATGTGCCACACGACGGGCGTTGATGGCTTAGGCAGAACTAGTACGGGTGCCTGCTTATTCGTAGACAGCCCGCCGCTCGTTGACCGACAAAATCGTCACGAGCAAGCAGGAGAATCCTCCTAAAACCCAAGGAGATAGACGGTAAGAGTCAGAGCTTCGCATCGCATCTAGAACTCGATCTCTGGGCAAGGTTGCCTGAATCCACGGGCACTGGTGACCACCAAGTGGAGCTCATTCCCAGGCCTCAGCCAGGCAGCACAGCACAGCGCGCGATTATCAAAATGAATTGCTAGCCAAGAATGGATGAGTAACCAGGAGGTCGTTAGAGGAAAAGAGAAGAATAAGCAAATTTGAAATCAAATGGATAAATGATATAATTAATTTGGAAAGAAAATAGAAATAAAAATAAAATTGAAGATAATGAAAGGGGAGTGTAAGTAAATTGAGCCTTGAGTATTGAGTGGGTTTCCTCAGGGGGAAAACGAGAAAGCAGTTAGTAAGTTAGTAGGAACGGATAGTTACTAGGTACCAGTAGTTACTACCAGTAAGTTAGTATGGAGAGAGAAAGCCTGGAGGACGGGCGGAGTGGACGGGCAACCGAAAACGAGCCTCCATTTTCCAAGCCTCGCTCGCCCGGATTCCGCTACTGCGATGATACCCGGTGGACCCTTGCGAAAGTCGATTTGACTCAACTGGCGCGCATATCTTACGATGTTCCCATGCAAGCTATTCCAGAATGATTCAAACTGACAGCACTCGACAGCTGATAGTTCGAACCGCCAAACGGTCCCGGCTTTTCCCTCCAATCCACTTGATACTGCACTGCACTGCACTACACCCACCCAACCCCTTCCTTCCCCCATTCCCCAAAAAGCAATCGAGAGTTGCCAAGCCACCTTGACGATGATCGACTCTGAAATGGCCCCGGGCTCTGATCAGGTATAGCACCTGCTTATGACTGAGATGAAGACAAGCCTAGTTCTGAAGGGCGCCTTTTGTTTTTTTTTATTATTTTTTTATTGTTTTGTGGAATCAGCCACAATGGCAGTTCAGGACGCCTTGTCTGAATCATCGTTAGCGTCGTCTCTCTTTCACTTTCTCACTTGTTGTAACATCCTAAGATTGCTTAAATACAGCGGCGCAGTCCTCAGGATGGACTTCATCTCTATTTCCTACACACAATACATCCTACTGAATCATTGACACTTGCAACTCATCCGCTGTCTTCGCCCCTCTGCTTCTATACAAGCTTGACTTCAACCACAACTACCTACCACCATCATACCTACTATCAACACCTTAGTCACCTATCAACCTCCTCATTCAATCATGCCTGGCTTTTGGACCTGCTGCACCTGCCTTCACGGCCTTCACCAGATCGATCTTCACAGAGAGTGCCTGCAGTGCGGCGAGCCACGCTGCCCCAGCTGCCCTGTCGACAACCGCGACGCCGATATGTCGTTGCACAGCTGCCACGAGATGTCGCCGTACCCTTCTACTCCAGCACACTCAGTCTGCGCACACTCGCTAGACGCCCCCAGACACGTGCCGTCGATGATGGACTGCCAAAACCCGATCTCCCAGCCACTATCAGTCTTCGGTGACGTACGGCGACCCCGTCTGCAGGACCTTGCCGGCCAGCGACTTCCAGAGGATCGGGCGCAGACGCGGGGGAACCTGTACTTCTGCTGCCAGTGTGGCGATGGGCCAAAACTGTATCAGAACCAGCCCCGTTGTGTGATGTGCCAGCACGTCGCCTGCTCCAATTGCACGCCGGTGAAATGATCTACGACTACGTTTTGATGTTGAAGGTAAGGCCGACCAGGAACAAGCTCGGTGGTCAGAGGGCTAATCATCTCATTTGCGCGCAGAACTCAAGAGAGGCTATGCTATATGGTCTCGAGGCCGAATTATCACTTTCTAATCTTCTGACGTCGTTTTGAGCGTTTCTCATCATGAGTTGCATGAAACATGAAACAGACATGACCAGGAGTCACGGGCCGTTTGCATTTTGCGATATTTTTTTTCCCTTTTCCTTTTTCCATTTCTAATGGATCTTGCATGAGCGGGTGCATATACCACGATACATTTTCTAGTGTCAGCTTTGTCTTTTTTTTTGCTTATTTTTCTGGCTTCTTCTTTTGTCATTTTTCTGGGCTGAATTTTCGTTTCTGAGCAACTGTACTAAATATACGGCTTAGACTGGGGCGGCTGCCGAATCGAGCAAGCGGGCCTTTACTCGGTCGTGCAGCCGCGAAGAACGCCTTGGTTTACGGTGGTGGATTTGTGGGGGTTTAGATTTTTGTTCTGTTTGTTTAAATTGACGATCTCCTTCTCTCCTCTGTTCTATGTGTTCTATGATTCTTGTTATAGAGTGATGTTGTTTTCTACAGATTTGTCAGACTAGAATTTTCGGGTCACAGCAATGTACACCTCCTCTATCGTTTTAATCATCAGTTGATCTCTAGTAAACCAATAGTCAACTTAGTGAGTTGACTACTATATTGTACTATATTGTACCGTAGTTATGCTTTAGGGTACTAGGGTACCCGTTGGTCCCGCATCTCTGGTAGGCAGAGAGTCAGAGACAGACGCCTTGTTGCCTGGCGTAGGAGGGAGGGGACCCGAAACCCTAGTTCACCCTCCATTCCCATCGCCTGCTATCGACTTCTGTCTAAACTTACTCCGTAGTCCGCAGGGTCGGTTCATTACTCATGAGCCATTAACACTATCGTCTATAACTCATTCCTTCTGGCGAAATTTGTCAGAGAGACTAGTTTAGACTTGCCGGGCCCGGGTCCGGCCAGGTCAGATCACGGGCCATGACGACAAGCAGACATGGGTATACCAATGGAAGAACTGTAAGCTTCAGTTTCGCGAATTTGTAAGCTTTCCCCCCCCCCCCAAAACCGCTTGCTTAACTAACGGATCGTATCTAACATTTGTCAGGGTAGTTCAACCAGACTGGCTTAGAATACTAAGCACCCGGTTCCCGAACTTTGGTGTAATGTGTAATGATCCAAGCAGAAAATAATCATAGTCGCAGCTTTTTTTGTCGTTCACACAGCCCTGGAAGACATTCAAAGGGGGAACCCTGAACATCTATGGGAGCACAACACAGAACTTGGGGCGGACTGCACTGCACTGCACTGCACTGCACTGTGTGATGATTCCGCACGTGTTGGGGATCATGTTTTTTCTTGTGGTGTATAAACCAAGTTGGGAAACCGAAACTTTCCATCTGGGCTATGCAGATCGATGATGGATGGATGGAAGGGATGGATGATGGGACGAACCCCGTATTCCAGAACCTTTTTAGATGATGGGGGGTTGTACACAAACCGTTTGCTGTATCTTTTTCTTTTTCATTTGGGCAATATCATTTTCTCGTGCATCTTAGAATAGCATGGTGTAGCTTTTTTCTTTTTACTTGGATTTCATTTTTATTTTTATCTTTATTTGTTTTTTTCTCGCCGAGCCGCAAAAGTCTTGGTACGGATATATTCCGCTATGACTGGCTGACCTTCAAGGTCGGGGAAGCGAAAAAGGTATAGATTAGATGAGGGGGCCTGAGGCTTAGGAGATGGGAGGGGAATGGGAGGGGGGGTTAAGGGCAAGGGGAGGAGGGAAAGGAGCATGGATGGGAATGCAGATCATGCAGCCACAACCTCGATGACCGTCAACCCGGGATGCTAACTTACCAGGTAGTAAGCAAACAACAACCAAAATCCCACCGCCCTTTCTCTCGGTATCTGTATGCAATTAACCCTATGGCTGGGGGGAAACTGGCGGTCTCGCGCCTGTCTGTGGTCGCAGGATTTTTCTTGTGTGGTTCAGCTCGCGATGATCGGCTGCAGTAGTGTGTATGTTTGAGCGGTTGTCGAATACGGAGGGGGGGAAAGTGTAAGCACAGGCAAGAGAGACGAGACTCGGGAAGCATGACAGGTGTGCCCCGAATTTTGGCTTCCAAGCATTCCAAAGGAGTCATGGGCGGCAGGGCTGAGTAGAACTTTAGGTTTGGTGGATTTAAAAAAAAAGTGGACCATCGTCATTTGGGGGGAGTTCGATTTTCTCCGACCTGGATGCGGTCGCACTGCTAAATTAGTCTGGTAATCTCTTCTTTCCATATCTGAGGTCCAGCTTTCATAGAAAAGAATCAATCAACAGACAGCCTGCCAGGTAGTTACTTTAGTAGTGCCTTAGAGACAGAACCGGTTGTGTACTAAAGCCCGCAATGTTGTGCTGCAATTGGCCGATTCGCGTAGACGGTCCCCGCTATTCAGCTCAGCTCGCTGGGAACTCCGGAGTATAGACAATATCCTGGTTGTCGTCAACATATAGTAAGCTGGGACTCGCGGTTACTATGCATTTGGGGCCGTCTCTCTCTCTCTCATTACTATCCTGATGATATCTTTAGACCCTCTCTCTCGTTGCTTCGGTCCAATCGATCCAGATCAGCGTACAGTACAGCCTTTGGCTCATCCCGAACACGGGTCAAACGGTGTGTCTCGGTGCGAGACAAGCCCGCTTGCTGATGGGTGAGAAAAGCCACATGGTGTGATCTTGATATGATTAGGCTTAACGCTCCTTTCCACGTTTTTTTCCTTCATGGCTCACCATTTCCCGAGGGGGCCAAAAATCTTCTTGACGCTCACATCCACATCCACACCTCACAAAAACACACACCCCTTCTAGTGGGTTTCAGAGTCTTCTCTTGCCTGCGGTGAACTGCATGTACGACCTCCACTATCCCCGAACTGGTAAGCAATGCAGTTCCGAGCCCGCGACGATATTCTTACTGTGTAAGACGTCTGACCTCCCTCCTTCTTGTCCTTTCTGCAACTCTTCTCTTCTCCGTCATCCTATTTGTGTTCCTTATTCGATGGTATCGAAAACCGATCCGCCACTAAGCCTGATCCAGTCTGACGGACTGTTGCTATGTTTATATTTCTCCCTTTAGCCGCTGCGCCAAGCAGAATATTCCCTGCCCACCACGTTGCACGCGACCGCAAGGCACAGGAAGTCTTTTTCTGGAACTGCGTGTTCGACGCTCCTGTCAGCACTACTACTCCATTAGACACACCTTTCGGGATACTAAGAAGGGGAAGGAAAGAGTAGTGAAGAGAGAGGCAGAATGTGCAATATTGATTCAGATTAACCCCGAGTCCTACTAATCTGCATCATCATCATCATCATCATCATCAAGAAGTATGACTTCGCCCTCCCGAGCAGAGGAAACAGTTAAGTTACCCCACCACTGGAGTCGACGACCCACCGTTTTATTTGGGGGCCGCGCCGCCGGTACATGATACGCAGGTTCCGCGGACAGGACAGTTTCAGCTGCGGTGTACCTCCTCCACATGTAGTGCCTGTTTACCCGCCCGCCCGCCCGTCCGCCATGCGATGCTCCTCCTGTGTACACCGTACAATACAACTCGTCAACTCCGTCATGGCGCTGCATTTCTCCATATTGAGATATCACCCATTCCAGATGATCGCTAATCATGTCGTGTCACTTCACGCAGTTCCACGTGGTTTCCTATTCTCTTCTCTTACTGCCCCCATCTTTACGAGCTTCTATTCTCGTGGTTGCTGTCATTGATGTTGAGGTTATACAGAACGCCTCAAGATAGTAGACGGGACAACCCCATAGTTCCTCCGCATCGTTGTCTACCTAGTCTACAGCATCTTTGCGATCAACCACGAAAGTTGTTCAAACACAAGCTCAACCACCACCATCTCAACCATGTCTCACATTTTTCTCTCCTACGTTTTCCTTTCTACATACGCCTCTTCCCTTGTCCCAACAACACAACCCCCCAACTTTCCTTTTCCCTGCAAGATATTTATTTATATCTAAGACAAAAAACCACAACAAGCATCACCTGCCTCATTCAAGGCCAACTCTCAAGCTCAAGCCCCAGCATCTGCACCATCAACCGACCGACCAACCAACCAACCAAACCTCCAAACAAGCGACAGAAATGACGACAACAGCCAAACATACGCAAGCAACCCTCATTTTCCTGTGTGCCTGAGTCACAAAACCCCAGGCCACGGTCACAGGATCACAGATGACTCAACAAGGGGAACAAACCTGCATAACCGACCACTCCATCTCGACGGAGTAGTTCACTTCGCTCAATCAATCAATCACAAAGTGATGTAGCTAGCCGTGCACTCACTCAACTCCTCCCTGAGTCAACTTTAGTGCAACGCAACGCAACGCAACGCAACGCAACGCGGCTAGCTAGCGTGCACGATAGCCGGGTCATTGTGTTTGGGTTTGTGTTTGTGGGAAGTAGGTAGATTTCAAAAACACTGCCACAATTTTTTTTTGTTGTCCCCCCCTTTTCTCCCAGTCTTCTTTTCACTTAGATTAAGAGTGTATACTACATATACAAAATGCTGAACGTCAGTTGCGGGACCAGTAGGACCGTGGGTGTGGGTGCGGGTGCGGGTGCGGGTGCGGGTGAGGGTGATGGTGAGGGGTTTTTTCTTTCCATTCTCTGCGCCCGACAGGTTACGTTGACTCGACTAACTTACTAGCCAGGCACTCCGTAGTTACTGTATGTATGTAGTAAGGTACCCAGTTAGCCCTCGGGGATTCCCGAATTCATCACATATACCGCCGAACTTCAGAAGATTCGATAGGGGACGGTCGGTGCGGTTGTGCCTTGGACAGACGGGGGAGGGGGATGGGGAAGCCTGGGGTACCAACCTACCCGAGGGCGTCGCGCCCGGAACCCATGCATGCATCCATGAATTCTCCATGTTCCTGGATTCTAGGGCGGGCAGCAGCAGCAGCAGCAGCAGCAGCTCTGGCTGTGTGTCTGGGCTCCACGAGGCACTGCGGCACTGCGGCACTACACCTAGACTACTCGCTGGGCGCTTTTCTTTGCGGACAACCCCCCTAGACTAGCATGCCCGGGTGTTTGCAGGGTGGGTTCCCTCCTTTTTGAATGCCAAGGTGTGGATAGTAGTCTACCGCTAAACTACTTGCTAAGGGAATCTATCGCTAGACGCCTAGCGGGCGCTCCACGCGAAGGCGGCTGTGTCGCTTGTTAGTCTACTTGATCCAGGTGGGACTGACGTAGCTTGCGTGCATTCCTTGGTTTGCGAACTAGCATAAGGCTCTGGAGAGGGGGAGGGGGATCGCTTAGGAAGCTCCTAGCTCCTTCGGACACAAGGCAGAGTACATACGAGGATTTTCTTTCCGAGGGGTGAAAAATCAGAATCTCAATAGAAACTATGTATGTACTGTACTGTACTGTACTTCTTTCCTATGAACCCCGCTGTCTGCACAGCCCTATGACATTGGACTGTATAGGACCGCATCCCATACCGTTGGAAGACCTGGTCAACTACTGGCGTTGCCATCACCCTCGCTAAGTCAGACCCTAAGTCTCCAGGCTTGCGGTCGTGTCGTAACGTGGGAAAGTTGCTTTACGCCCACTTCGGTTAAGAGGCAAAAACAAGGTGAAGAGAAGATGATTCCGTCCAACGCCGGGCTCGTGCTTTTGTATGCCAAATGGCAAAAAAGAAGAAAAGAGTAGATAGGATAACAGCGCGGTTGCCCTGGAAGTCGCTCTCGCTCAAGAAGAGATGCCAGATCTCAAACGTTCAAAAAGAGGAAAGCCGGGGTTGCTTATCCATGGTGAAAGATGGTGGTGGAGGTGATGAGGAAGAAAAAGAAGAAAGGGAAAAGCTTTCAGATATAGCTCGATGCTGGCACAGCAAGCAGCAGAAATCTACCTGCACAGCTCCTGAGTGCTGGGTGCACGATGCATCGCACCTCACCTTGTTCAAAGAATGAGTAATCTTGACTGTCGCACGTTCCATGTCAGGGGTTACAATGGCAAGATCCGCGAAGGGTCTTGGAGGAAGCGTCTACGGTATGCGGCTATTTCCGCAGCCACGGTGCTAAAGTCTTTCACCTTGTCGCGTCGCATGTCGTTGATGATCTGCTTCAGTCCGGCAATGTATTCATCTTTCTCTTCGGGGGTTTTGCCCTCGCGGAGAGAGCCCATTTGGACCAAGATTTTGTCATCTGTCGAGGTTAACAAGCCTGTGCGTCAGCATCCGCACAATGCAAATCCGACCAACAAATCGAGTCACGACAGGGGATCAAGGGATTGAGAGAACAGCAGAGAGATGTGGTGCGAAGGAAAGGGGTCATGGGAAGATTGACACAAATAACCAGAGCCAGAGATGGCAAAGTCAATGTTCAGATCATCAAGGGATATGTCTGTGAATAATGGCTTGAATCTGTCGACGCACCGCTAAGAGACATGTCTCGGAAGTGTTGAAATTCGCAAGATCGATCGTTGCAGACACCCCCCGCGGCCTCAAACGGACACAGGTATTTCATGGGGTCAATGTTGTGGCTATATGTCAGAGAACGATAGCCGTTTGCAACATTTTCAACGTAGCTTGGGTGGTAGCGGTAAGCCTTGAAATGCTTTAGTGGACTATCGTATTGCGTGAATGTGATAAGGCTGTCATAGGGATCCCGCTCATTCTACTACTCATTAGCATCAGATTACTGGCCGTGACTGAGGAGCCTCGCACATCCAAAGGGCTGATTCGAGCAAAACTTCGTGGTTGGTGAACAGCCAAGCCCTGGTCATTCTCAGTTAGCGGCTCGCTAGCCTTGGTAACCTCGTTCGATGGAAATTCAGAGTCGTCGGTAGGCTCAATAGGAGCAGGAGAAGCAGGACTAAAAGGGGGTGAGTAAGCGGAACCGGCTGGGCTTGCAGTCAATTCTGGCTCGGGAGGCTCATAAGCGTCCGATACAGACGATTCACGAGATCCTCGGTCCTGTACTTCAGGTGCTGATCCCTCCACATGTTCATCAGACGTAACATTGACCTGGGATTCAGCATTAGTGAGTTGCGATTGCTCTAGCGAGGAGCTATCCAAATCCGACTCGGCCGGGGTTTCCTGCTCAGTCTCTTGAGTTCGGTCGTTCTGAGTCTCGGTCTCGGCAGTGGCTGGCGCAGAGCTTCTGGCTACTGATTCTTCCGACGCGACCGACGCGGAATCATCGCTTTCGCTATCGCTATCGCTGGATTCGTCCATCGACGAGCTCATCGAATCAGACGATGAAGTAGCCATTTGCTCTTCGTCAGCATCGTCCATGACAGTATCTTTCTCATGTTCCGCATTGGATACCGCGGCGTCCGAAGCAGATACATAGTCAGTAGCGGGTACACCTTCGTTATGCACGGGCACTTGGGCATTTGTTGCCTCGGGAACCTGATCTGTGATAGGCCGAGGAGGCAATTCATGGGTAGTTGCTAAGCACGGTTCAATCAGCGCCAATCCTCGATTTCGCAAGAATGACATAAATACAAGTACGACTTACCGATGAGTTCTGCATCTGCGGGTTCTTCAGTCTGCACTTGGCGGAGGGCTAACTCTATGTCATCAAGTGTCACGTCCTGCAACTCCTGGCCAAGAGCTTCCAATTCATGTAAAAGCTGCTGGCGACCTTCTTTCCCCTTGGTGATTTGAGATAAAAGAGAATTCTGCTCCTGATTCACCTCGGCCAGCCTTGCCTCGGACTTGTTTATTTCGTGATCCAGGGCAGGGATACCAGACTCGATTTCCTGCTTCCGCAAGAGTTTGGCTCTCATCTCCTCTAGTTTGAGAGCATCTTTGGGGAGTGAAGATGATTGATCCATCAGCTTGGAAGTCGCCTCGTCCAGCTTGGGCACCTGATTTACATTGGTGTTCTCATGGATGGCGACATTGGCCGTCACTGAATCAACAAGCGGCGTTGGAAGATCCAGAGCACGTGGGGACTGGGTGCGACTAGCTGCTAGCTTCGCCTTTTTCCGTTCCTCAAGCTCGGCAATCCGACGGTGCATCGCCTTGATTTCCAAGTCCTTACGGCGAAGATGCTCCTGATGTTCTTGATCGTAATTCCGTCCATTGGGAGTCACCGACGTAGAGAAACCCTGACTGAGTGATGTTGCTGGCCGCTGAGGTAACGAATCTGTGGTCATCGGAGTGCTCCGGAGAAGTGTCTCAACATCCTGCGACACGTTTCCTGCCAGTGTATCAACGTCCATGCTATCATTCTCGTCATCCCCATAAAACTCATCGTCGCTGATGTCGATAATAAGCCTCGCAGGTTCAGCAACGACGTGGTTTGACCCGTTACCGAATGACTTTTTGGGCATGGGAATGGGTTCGTCAAAGTCAGATGCTCGCGGTCTCTTGCGCTGATTGGTGCGTGTGTGAGTATCTGTATCGGCAACATGCTGGACAGGCGCAGCATTCGACTCTTCCGTTATGGCCGGTTCCTGGCTTTCGGTCATGAAAAGCCCTGGAATACGAGATTGAGGTGAAAATTCTGGGTCCGGCGGGCGCTCAGGCAAAGGGTGCTGAATTGGAGTCAAGTTCGTGGCCTGTGTGGTATCTGTATTGTAGGTGTGCTCTTCATTTGGCTCAGATGGTGTTGAATCTGGCTGTGATTTCTGCAAAGTCCTCATTAACCCTTGTTTCTTGAGTTGTTCGATTCTTTGTCTGGCGAGTTCGGTTTGTGCTTTATTCTTCTCCTTCACGCGCGCTTCCTTCTCTAGCGTCGGAGCATCGCGTGAGGGAAGTGTCGTCGTTTTGCCAGCATCAGGCAAATTCGAGCTCGAAGAAGGTATGGTTTCTTTTGCAGCTTCGGTCTGTGACGGCGTGGATGTGGAGGTCTTGGCCGCCTTCGCCGCAAGCATGCGGGCGATGACTTCCTTCCGCTCCATTGGTTTTCCCGTTACAGCCTGCTGTGTGGATGGCGGAGGAGAGACAACAACATTCATAGGGTCTTGCTGCGCAGCACCCTTCGGTGAAGTCGCAACCTTGACAACTGGTTGATCTAGACCGTGCCCTGCAGAAGCGGGTGAGTTTGACTCGACATCAGGTTGCGGAGTAGGAATTTTGATGCCAATGTCCTCGTAAAGTTGACGAAGAACAAGAGGGTCAATGCCTTCTCTCACAAATTCATTGTAGCGAATATTGTGAGGAGCCAAACTCAGAAGTGCCCCCTGGGCCTGAACGCGCAACTGAGCCGTGGGCTTCATGTCGTACCATAGTCGGTCAGGATTATTCTCAATCACCTCATTGTTCGCTGGCTCGTATGTGTTGTCGCTGAGTAGCCTCGACATAGCAGCGCCATCGAGGCCAATATTGTTCGGACAGGGAGATTCAGCACGTATTGTAAGAGCCGGGTTATAAGCTGCCAGACTGTAAGCAAGATATATCGACGAGGTGAAGTGTAGGTGACATACGAGAGCCGCTGCTCCGAGATGACGAAAGACCTTCCATTGAGCTCTCGGTACTTGTTACGTTCAATCCTTCCTTCTTAGTATCTTTAGAAGATATGGGTACGGAAGAAGTTGACGTATTGAAAATGTTGGCGTTAGGTAGGTTTCGAGAATAGCCGCGCGTACTGCCCACTTTTCCATTCGCTTTTAGGTGTTCTTGCACATCTTTCGGTGGTCGTGACGATGCAGCAGCCGTTTCGGATCCCTTCGGTTGGGACGGTAAGTCATCTCCATCAGTAAGCTCGCCTTCTTCGCGATCAAGGTCCATATTGGAGTTGGATGTGCTCGAAACTTGTGAATCCGCAGGGGTCGAGACCTCTTGACCAAGGCGGGGCTGTGGTTCATTCGGTGTACAACCGGATTGGTGCATAGCAGGGGCGGAAGGCGCTGGGATAGAAGGGTATCTCAGAGGCGGCATCTGAATCGGAGGAAATGGCGGAGGTGGAAACGGGGAAGAGGTGAATGGGGCCATGAAGCCGAATAGCGGCGGCGGTATTTGTCCAGGCGCGCCCGGGCCTCCGAGCCCCGGCAGATGTGAGTTGGCCATGTGACTATCTTGATTACCAGGAAGCGCAGCCCCTTCGGGGTGAGATGGCGGAACGGCAGTCTGGTTGTGAATATAGGGGAAATGATGATGAGGAAGTAAGGAAGGCATGGATGAGGAAGGAGTCGGGTTTGACGGAGGCCACTGAGGTGGTGTATAATGTGGTCCCGCGAAGGAGGGTGTCGGAGGGTAGTTTGACATGGTTAGAGGGGCGAATGGACAGTTAAGCATGCAGAAGGTGACTGTAAATATCTTCTGTACCGAGTAAGTAAGAGAGCAGCTTTCAAAAGTCTACAGCGTAGATTTTGGGTATCGCACATCGGAGGAGGGGGCTGTGGGTGGGACTAAAGTAACTTATA